GAGCACAATCTGTATTCCAAGGTGGGAGAGAGAACAGGAAACGGAAGCTGAAGAAGCAGGGTGCCAATGGAGGCAATGACCATTCTGCAGGCCACAGGGCCTTGACGGGAACAAGACAGCAGCTGACTTTTAATCAGTTCACTGGCAGCTGGAAGCCCTCTGTGTGGAACCAGCTGTGTGGTGCCCTGTCATGTGCACACACACATCCCTTCCCTGCCCATGCCACCCCTTCCCCTGTCAGCTGCGTCCTTCTTCAGCTGCCTCCTCTGTCAGAACCCTTAGGAAGCCACAGGATGGGCCAAGAGCAACTCCTGGAATAGGGCAACTGCAGAGCTTTGATGTCTTCTCAGAGCACACTGGCTTATCAGGGTGAGCCCAGGCAGGTCTGGGAGAAATTAGTGCTCCAGCCATGGTCTGAGAGGTGTGAGGGCATCTTCCTGAAGTGGAGAGTTTGTAAGAATTGCTAAGCTATTTTGCCAACCCCTCCTTTCGCTTTTGGAATACTAGCATTCTCTCTCTCTCTCTCTTCCCCCCTCTCCCTCTCTGTGTGTGTCTGTGTCTGTGTGTGTTTGAAACAGAATTCCACATAGGTCAGGCTGGCTGTAGACTCACTATGTGGCTGAGGCTGGCTTTGAATTCTTTGATCCCCTTCCCTCCTTTTCCCAAGTGTTGTTATAACCCCACCCATTTACTTTATTTTAGAGAAAAGGTTTCATTGTGCAACCTAGGCTATTCTCAATTCTCAATCCTCCTCCCTCATAGTGAGTCCAGGGCCAGCCTGACCCCCCACCTCAGAGTTTTGTATTACAGGCCAGGTGTGTGCGTGTGTGTGTGTGTGTGTGTGTGTGTGTGTGTGTGTGTGTGTGACCACTCCCAGATATTCCTGCTCTTTTTTTCACTCTGAGACAGAGTAGGGTGTCTCTGTCCTGGAATTCTGTAGACCAGACTGGCCCTGAACTCAGAGAGATCTGCCTGCCTCTGCCTCCAGAGTGCTGGGATTAAAGGTGTGTACCACCACCGCCTGGCCAATTCCTGCTTTCTAATTTTTATTGTTTATTTATAATTTTGTTTTTGTTTTTTGAGACAGAGTCTCATTTTGTAGTCCTTCTGGCCTGGAACTCACTATATAGACCAGGCCAGTACTGCCACACCTAACCCTGCTATTTTGTTTGTTTGTTTGTTTGTTTGTTTGAGACAGGGTTTCTCTTTGGCTTTGGAGACTGGCCTGAAACTAGCTCTTGTAGACCAGGATGGTCTGGAACTCAAAGAGATCTGCCTGCCTCTGCCTCCCCAGTGCTGGGATTAAAGGCACATGCCACCATCGCCCAGCTAGCCCTGCTATTTTTAATAAATAAGTTTTACATCTCCATTTAAAACTCTACATGACAAATTTTAAGCTCACATAAACTAGAATCTCTTTGAGTTTCTCAATAATTAGGAGTGGTGGCGCTCGCCTTTAAGTCCAGTGCTTGGGAGGCAGAAGTAGGCAGGTCTCTGTGAGTTTGACAGCCTAGTCAACATATCGAGTTCCAGGACAGTGAGAGCTATGTCTCAAGAATAAACAAATAAAAAATTTCATGGCATAAAAGGGCCCAGGGAGATGGGTTCTAAGTTGGCTGTGTGGTGCATGCCTGGAATCTCACAACTGTGAAGATTAGCGATCTAGGATTCCACTTGGTTTGGGCTGTACACCTGCTTCTAATGCACATGACAACCTGAGACCTTCACCCACCTGTACACAGCCCTCTCTGAACAATAACTATCAAACTTGCATGTTTTGTCTGTCTATTTTTAGAGATTTATTTATTATGTATACAGGGTTCAGATTATTTGCCTGCACAACAGAAGAGGACATACTCATTTATAGATGGTTGTGAGCCACTGTGTGGTTGCCGGGAATTGAACTCAGGACCTCTGGAAGAGCAGTCAATGCTCTTAACCTTTGAGCCATCTCTCTAGCCCAGCCTTATTTGTTTTGTTTTGTGTTTCTCTGTGTAGTTCAGGCTTTCCCGCAACTCTCTCACAGCAATCCATCTGCCTCTGCTTCTCAAGTGCTGTTGGGCTAAACTTGAACAGTTGTTTGTTGGTTTGCTTGATTTTTTTTTTTTTTGAGACAGGGTTTCTCTATGTAGTTCTGGCTGTCCTGGAACTCGATTTGTAGACCAGGCTGACCTCAAACTGCCAGAGATCTGCCTGTCTCTTCCTCCTGAGCACCAGGATCAAAGGTGTGTACCATCACTGCCCAGTGCTTATACAGTTTCTATTCAACAGCATTCTCCACACATCTGGTGGGAGGGTAAGAGGGCTGATTCAGCCTGAACTAATTTTAGGTGCATGTTTGTATTGGTTACTTTTCTATTGATGGGATAAAACACTGTGAACAAGGCAACTTGTAGAAGAAAGTTTATTTGGGCTTAAGTTTCCCAAAGAATAGGAGTTCATCCCAGCAGGGAATCATGGCAGCAGGTATAACATCAGGGACAGAAAGCTGAGAACTCACATCTCAACCATGAGCACCAAGTGGAGACAGCAACTGGAAATGTCAGAGGTCTTTAAACTCTCAAAGCCTTCCTTATGTGACATACTTTCTCCAAAAAGGCCATATTTCCTAACTCTCCCCAAACAGTGCCAGATTCTGAGGACCAAGTTGAGCCTATGGAGGACATTCTCATTGAAACCACTACAATATACAATAAGACAAACCATATCTTCGAAGTGAACTTTTGGGGAAATCCCCTATTTACCATGCCTATACATAAACAGGCATGTATCGGATTAAAATCAGTTGCATTATGGGAAAGTACATGCACAGTGAGCAAAGGCTGACAGTCAAAACAGAGAAGCACCCAAACTACAAACCATGGTAACTACTGACCCCCATGTTCACAGGGCCTGCTGCCACACACTACAGGGTATCTCACTTGTTCTTTGATTTGAATAAAGTTTCCTTGCTACTTTACAAATTTGTGTCTTCATTTCAATTCCCTGAAAAACCAAGAACCTGGAAACACAGACCCTGACCACTAGGAAAACTTGGGATGCTGAGGCAGGAGGACTGTTATGAGTTCAAGAGCTGTATGGTGATATGCTATTTTAAAAATGTATATATATGTTATTTCCTCTTAAAACAGCTTCCTGTGTAGTCAAAGTTGGCTTTGAACTCTTAGTCCTCCTATCTCTGAGATTACAGTCAGGTGCTTCCATGTGTGTTTGTTTGTATGCTATTTTTTTTTTTTTTTTTGGTTTTTCGAGACAGGGTTTCTCTTTGGCTTTGGAGTCTGTCCTGGAACTAGCTCTTATAGACCAGGCTGGTCTTGAACTCACAGAGATACACCTGCCTCTGCCTCCCGAGTGCTAGGATTAAAGGCATGCGCCACCAACGCCTGGCGTGTGTTATTTTTTTTAAATACAAGATCTTTATTGGTTCTATGCTTCGAAAATAGCTGCCACAATATTTATTTAATTTTTAAAATATGTTTGTGTGTTTTGCCTGCATGTATGTTTATGCACCACCTGCCTGGTACTCATGGAGGCCAGAAGAGGGCATCAGATCCCCTAGAACTGGAGTGACAGACCATTGTGAGCTGTCCTGTGTGTGCTGGAAGAGCAGCCAGGGTTCTTAGCCAATGGTTCTTAGCTGGAAGGAACCATCCATCCTTCCAGCCCTAGTTCATTGTTTTTATGTGAGGCCATAAGCTTGTGTGTGGAGATCAGAGGACAATTTTGCAGGTTCCCTTCCCTCTGCCTCCTGAGTGCTGGGATTAAAGGTATGAGCCACCAACACCTGACTCTCTTCTCACCTTTATGTAGGTCCTATTGATTAAATTTGGGTAGGCGAGGCTTGTCAGCAAGTGCTTTATAGACTGAGCCTTTTGGCTGAGCCCAGCTATCCAACTGAGCCAATTCACCAGACCCCTTGTTTTATTCTTTTTTTGTTGTTGTTGTTTTTTGTTTTTGTTTTGTTTTGTTTTGTGTGGTTTTTTTTGGTTTTTTTTTGTTTTATTCTTTTAAGGCGAGGGTTTGCCATCAGTGATTTATTTATTTTATTTTATTTAGAAACAATCATTTTACGCATCAACCGCCGTTCCCTTTCCCTCCCATCCTCCCATATCCCCTACCAACCCCCACAACACAACCCCCACCAGCGCCCCAAGGACGGTGAGGCCTTCCATGGAGGATCATCAAAGTCTGTGACATCATTTGGGGGACATCAGTGGTTTATATACGAAGACATTTATGACAATAAATTTAGAAATAACCAAGGCTATGATTGATTGCAGATGATGTAATTAACGAAGGCCCTTGAGTTACTGGAGAATGCCCAGGAAATGACGTTGACTCGGGAGAAAGGATGGGGCCAAGGAGATAAAGGAACCAGAAAGGAGAGTGGGACCCAAGGATCTGCAGAGCCAGGGACACGAGGGAGTAAAGGGGGTGAACCTTTCTGCAGGTGGATGTAGGCCAGACAACCCCAGGAAGTCAGGATGCGCAAGCATGCAAAATACAGAAAGAACGCAGTGTCTGAGCCATCTCAGTCTCTACCTCCACAGTGCAAGGTTTCAGGGCCAAAGTGTTATGGTCTATAAGCCGGAGCTATACCAGCAGGCGGTGACTACAACAATGGGAGAGCTGGGCTAATGACAAAGGATGTTACGCAGTTAGGAATGCTTGTCGGAATAACCCAGTTAGCTTCAATGAAGAGGAAAACATTTCCTTCCCCTCAATGGGACATAAAAAAATTAAATAAATGGCCCAGCTTCCTCCTCAGGGAACCAGATCAAATACTGTGTGAAGTGAGTGGAAAGACATCAGTAAACCATACTCAAACTGGATCCCAAATCCAGTTTGCTGCATCCATACTGGCTCCGCCCCTTCTGGGTAGTGGGTCCGCCTCTCACGCCGATTGATCAAGCGGTCCACTCGCCGCTGCGAAGGTAATATCCGGATAAGCGGAGTTCGTCAAAGGAATGGATCGCCCTCGCGGCCCTACTGCGCATGCTCGCCCCGTGACCCCAGCTTGAGGTGACGGCGGGAGCCAAGGCTGGGGCCCAAAAGCACTGAGGCTGAGGGACCCGCCACGGCTCCGTCGTCCGAGAGGCAGGGCCTGTTGCCGTCGGTGAGGACGGGCCCCATCGGGCGGGAGGGTCCCGGCCCGCGAAGCGACTCCCTGGGCCTGGCTGTTGCGGGATCCGGGACTGGTTGGTGCTAGGGAAGGGTCCCTGACTCTGCCCCCCAGATTCAGGCCGTCTCCCTGCCGTCCATCCGCAAGGCGCTTCCTTCCTCCATGCTTCCCTTTCACTAACCCACCCTACCACTGAACCGAACCTGTACATCCCCAACCCGGGATCCACCCGCCCAATGCGCACCTACCTACCCCAATCGGTCCATTCTGCCTGGTACACGCCCATCCTTAACCTCTGCAGTTTTGTCGCATCTGTCCTGGGGGTGCTTGCCCCAATGGCAGAGTTTAAGGGCTGGGAGCTGGGTAGATGCTTTCAGAGACTGGAGAGGGGGGCATTGGTGAGAGGGGATCAGGGAGCCAGGGCGTTTTATTTTAGGCTCAAGACCAGACCTGTTGGGCAAGGGTGGTGGAAGATACCATTTTGAGTCAAGGTGATTAGGGAAGGGAAGCGCCCTTATTTGAGACCCCACATTGGAAATCTCTCCACTGTTCTGTATATTATTCCATCCTTGACCTTTTGGGAGGGTCACTGCCTTTTTCTCCTGTCTCCCCGTGAGAATATGTCCTGCACACCTCAATGTCATATTGTTCCCTAAGCAGTCCAGTCACAGTCCTCATGACTGTGCAGGACAGTGACTGGGAAGCAGCTGTCGGTATCCTGAGTTCAACAACCTTACCCTCCACCTGATGCTAGCAACTGCAACTACAGAGATCTAACCAGCCCTGAGAGAGTAAGGGGTCTGTCCTTCTGCTAGGACATAGATGTTTCACCCCAAGATAAAAGTTACAAGCCTCCAGAGCCTCATCGGTAAGAGTTTGGACCTTAATTGTTTTATGGCCACCATAATAAATCGACACCAACCTAGTGACTTAAAATAACACAACTTCATTTTCATACATTTTAGAGGCCAGAAGTCTGATGTGGGTGTTGTTAGTGTCAGCAGAGCTGTATTCCTGCTGAGGCTTTAGGAGAGAAACACTTTTCTAGAAACAGCTTACCTTGTTTGGCTGGTGAGAGCTTTGGAGCCTGTCCTTTTGGGAGGGTCACTGCCTTTTTCTCCTGTCTCCCCGTGAGAATATGTCCTGCACACCTCAATGTCATATTGTTCCCTAAGCAGTCCAGTCACAGTCCTCATGACTGTGCAGGACAGTGACTGGGAAGCAGCTGTCGGTATCCTGAGTTCAACAACCTGGTCTCGCTCTGGAGACCAGGCTGGCTTCGAACTCACAGAGATCCGCCTGCCTCTGCCTCCCGAGTGCTGGGATTAAAGGCATGCAACTCCAACGCCCGGCCCCATTTTTCTCTTTTTGTTTCTTTTGTGTGCCACATGTGTGCGGTGCCTGTGGAGGCCAGAAGAGGGCATCTGATCCTCTGAGCTGTGCAGGTGGTTGTGAGTCATCTGATGTGGGTGCTGGGAACCAAATTGCTGTCCTACGAAATTGCAGGAAGCACTAGACCACTAAGACATTTATCTGGCTCTGTGTCTTCTGTTTGACTGCGTGGTAGGGGGCCAGGAGTATGCATATACCTGTGGACAACTTGTGGGAGTTGACTCTCTCCTACCATGTGGATCCTGGGATGGAACTACTCAGGTCTTGAGGCTTGGTGGAAAGCACCATTACCTGCTAAACTGTCTTGATAACCCTTGTTTTGGAGACAGGCTCTGGATACATAGGTTTGACTTGAACACCCACCCCCACCAGGCCTCCTGCTTTAACCTTCCTACTGCTGGGATTATAGGTGTATGCCACAACACCAGGTTCTAGGGACTAGGATCTGGAGAGCTGAGTATTCATTACTCTGTCACAGACCTGATGATGTGTGAATGACTCCTGCTCATTGTATGCTCTTGACTTTTGAGCCATTTTTGCTCTTCTGGGTCTCCTGGTCCATGAACAAGGTCATGAGTGCTGATTCACTTTGTCATGCTGGGGATTGAATGTGGGCAAGCTCTCAACTGGGCTACACCAACTCTTGCTTCATTTTTTTTCCCCTTGGTGGGGGGATAGTGTGTGTATGTGTGTGTGTGTTCGTGCAGTGCTTCTGTACACATGCAGAGGCAAGAGGAGGATGTTGAATGCCTCCCCCCTCCCACCTTATTCCCTTGAGACAAAGTGTCTCACAGGAAGTGGAAGCTCACCATTTTGGCTAGGTGGATTTGTCAGCCAACATGCTCCAGGGATCTGAATGTCTCAGCTTCCCAGTGCTGGGTTTCAGACGTGTATTGACAGGTCTGGTTTTAACGTGGTGCTGGGAACTTGGACTCAAGTCCTCAGGCATGTGCAGCAAGTGTGTTTTTTTCTCGAAGTTGGAACACATGACAGTCTTCCTGATTCACTCTCCTTAGTGCTGGGATTTTAGGTGTGAGTCACGACACCTGGCTTTACTTCTCAATTTTATTTATTTATTTATTCATTTATTCATTTATTTGAGACTGGGTCTCATGTAGCCCAGGCTGGTCTTGAATTCCTGATCCTCCTGCCTCAACTTCATAGGTGAGAGGTCTGTCTGAGACTATTTTTCTCTGAGTAGTAGACTTAAAAAAAAAAATTATCCCTTGAGTAAATGTGTCTTATCTTTTAATATGTTAAATGTGTTCCTACTGCAAAAAAGAAAAAAGAAAAATAAAAAGAAAGAAAGAAAGTGAGTTCATGAACATTACAACTTGAGAAGATGAGTCTGGAGAGATGGCTCAGCAGTTAAAAGTGCTTGCTGCTCTTTCAACAACCCCAAGTTGGGCAGCTCACAACCACCTGTAACTTTAGTGATCTGACACCCTCTTCTAGCCTCAGAGGGTACCTGTACACATGACATCCACTCACACAGACACACATATAAAAATAATAGGAGTAAATCTTTAAAAATCAATCTGTGATTGTGAAAGGTAAAATCACACATTCTCATCAACCCAAATTCATTCCAGATCTTGGCAGATTTGAAGAGCGTTAGCCAGGCATTTTGTACAATAACTCATAATGTGGGGCTGAGATTTCCTAGGATCCCACAGAGATGAACTGCCTCATGGCATCACAGCACAGGCACTTCACATCTAGGCCGATCACCACAGATTATATGTTGGCTTTGATCACATGGTAGAGGTGGTATATGAGCTGCACTGCAGTCACTATTCTTATCATCCCTGTTTCCTTGGGAATGAGTCACTGAGTGACAAGGTCCACCTTAGGTAGGAGCATACTCTTTAGAATTCTGTTAGCTTGAGACTGGGTCTCATTTAGCCCAGCTTGTCCTTGAACTCTGTATACGGCCAACGGTGAGCTTGAACGCCTGACTCTTTGGCCTCTACTTCCCAAGTGCTGAGATTATAGGCATGTGCTACCATAAAAGGTTTATGTGGAACCCATGGTTTTGTTGGGACTGGCACCCATGGTTTTGTGCATGCTAGCTAGGCACTCTCCCAACTATATCCCCAGCCTGGAATTCATGAGGAAGACTTGGGCCCTTTCCAATAGATATTCAATTATTTGTATTGTGGGCTTGTGGATATTTATTTTATTCTTAGGGTTATAAACCTGCCCACTTAAGGGTGGACTTCATTCTGTGGAGCAGTTTTCTTCATAGCTGGTTTTGGCTGGAATTGGCTATTGGCCGGGGGGTTCTAGTCTCAACTCTCACCAGCTGTGTGTCCCTGAGCCACTCCACTAAATGTCCAAGGTCACCTCCACTCCACCCCTGGGGTGGGGGATGGGGGCAGAGTGGGATGATGGTAATACCTGAGAGGGACATCACTGGGTTCCAGTAAAGAAGTTGACATCAGATCTCATTCTTGACTTGGGCTGCTTTGTGGACAAGAAGGCAGTAGGGTAGGGTACCTGAGCACTTCCTCATACCATATCATCCTAGAGGTTTCTGGGTCCCTCTGTTGTGTGTGTGCATGTGTGGTGTAGTGTGTATACGTGTGACTGCAGTGTATATGTGTTTGCAGGTGTGCTCTTGTGTACATGTGCAGGTCAGAGGTTGTTACTGAGCATCTTCCACAACCTCCACTTCATACTTTTTTGAGACAAGGTCTCTCACTGAACCTAGAGCTCGTTGTTTTGGCTTAGACTGGCAGGCAAACTATCCCCGGGGTCTCCCTGACTCTGCTCCCCTCCCTGCAATGCTAGGGTTACAGAGGCTGACATACTGGGCTTTCTGTGTGAGTGTTGGTATCCAAACTCAGGACTTCTGCTTGCACAGCAAGACTTTGCTCACTGAGTCTCTGGGTCACTTCTGTCTTTGTCAACTTGTGTGCTGTCTTAAAGTCTGGAGCAAAATCTTTTCCTCCCCATGCTATGGATTGACCGCTCAGATGCTAGGCAAATGTACTGTGTCCCTGAACTATATCCCCAGCCTAAAACTAGGGTTTTTGGTTTTTTTTTTTTTTTTTTTTTTTTTTTTTGGACAAGGTCTCATTATATAGTCTTTCTTGTTCTGGAACTCCCTATGTAGACCAAGCTGGCCTCAAACTCAGAGATCTGCTTCTGTTTCCTGAATGCTGGGATTGAAGGCATGTACCATCATGACTGGTCCTAAATTTTAATATGCTTGATTTTATTCTAGTGATTTGTATTAATCTTTGTTTGTTTTTTGAGACAGGGTTTCCCTATGTAACAGCTCTGGTTGTTCTGGAACTTGCTTTGTAGACCAAGCTGGCCTCACTCATGGAGATCTGCCTGCCTCTGCCTCCTGACTGCTGGGATTAAAAGTGTGTGCCATCAATGCCCTGCAATTTGTATTAATCTTATTTATTTGCTGTTTAGCTTTTTTTTTTTTTTTTTGAGGTTCTGGAGATCTAACTCAGGACCTTGTGCATGCTAAGCTTGAGCACTACCACCAAGCCACCAAGCTGCACCCCAGCACACTCACGTGTGTTTTCTTTTCTGACATTTACATTGCACAGGTAATGAACTAATGGGGAAAATTACCTTGTGAGTAAGTATATCTCATCTCTTTTTAGATGTTAAATATATTGCCACTGGGGGCATGGGAATGAACTCATGTCATAGTAAAATAGTGAAGGGTAAAACCGCTCATTCCCACCATCACCTCAAGCTACATCCAGATCCATTTGGTAGCACTCCATCCTCCTCCACTGACTGCTTTGCCTCCTCCCTTAGGACAGAGCCCTGGACTCTCAGGTTCCTGGCCAGGGAGGTGGAGGAAAAGGAGAGACCTATCTGCCAGGGAGAATGTGGCCTGAGGGTCAGGCTTCTGGTCCTGGGATGCCCCAGCCCAAGCCCAGTGAGCAGGAGGGGGAGAGCATGAAGGCCGGCCAGGAGCCAACTCCCCAGCCTGGCACAGATGTGGTCCCAGCAGCCCCCAGGAAGCCCAGAAAATGCTCCAAACTGGTCCTGCTGACAGCCTCCAAAGACAGCGCCAAAGTGGCTGGGGCCAAGCGCAAAGGAGTGCACTGCATCATGTCCCTGGGGGTGCCAGGCCCTGCTACCCTGGCCAAGGCCCTCCTCAAGACTCATCCTGAGGCTCAACGAGCCATTGAAGCAGCCCCCCAGGAGCCTGAGCAGAAGCGCAGCAAGCTGGATCCGGGTGAGGCTTCTGTAGCTGGCACTGCCCCTCAAAGATACCTGGTTCCTTTCAGAGCTGCCACAGGCAACTGGCTCCAGTTCTAAGAGTCCTGGTTCTTCCTTTGCCTTCGTGATCCCTTCTCCTTTACTTCTCCGAGCACAGGTTGGAGGTGGAGGGCTCAGGGGTGATAGATAGGTGCTGCTGAGTACTCCTTGAGCCTGGGACCCTATCTTAGCCCCTCCTACTCTTGCCAAATAGCTTTGCCCCTTTGAGCCCACGAAGAGTTCCCTCTGCGTGGCCTGTATGCCTTGCTTCATCACACAAGTGTCAGAGGTTGAGATGGGCCTGCTGTCAAGCACTTTCATGCTGGAGGCTGCTGGCCACTCTCAAAGTCTTGGCTATGTTCAGGTGTTTCCAAAGGCTTGGGCTTCTTGGTCCACCTGCCACATGCTTCACAAGCATTTCATAGACAGTACAAAAATTGCCATCATTTCTTCAGTCAGCCAGCTTACCTGTGTTTGTAGACTTGGGGCAATGTGCTCACTGGGCACTAAAGGCCATCGGAGTTGTGGGGACTCCCCTCCCTGTCTCTTCTGCCCCAGCCTCATCCACACTGAAGCTGCCACAGAGGATAGAACAGGGCTCCAGAGGACTGTCATGAGGCAGCAAAGAAGTAGCCTTAGAAGTTGCAGGCTGATGAGGGTACAAGGCTTCCTGGGAAAGTTCAGTGCCCTCTTCTCTTGTTTTGCAGTGATGAGATGGTGGGAGGTGATGGACAGGGTTAGCCTCACCCCGCACTACTCCACCATAGCTGTGTCCCTTCCTCCAATGTGACTGGATGGGTGGTGGATGGTGACAACAAGCGGTCCCTTTCTTTACACCTAGCTCAAGCTGGCCTCATGTCAGATTATTGGGACCTGTGGCTGTTACCTCAGGCCTCCCTGGCAGTAGTGAGGTGACAGGTAGCAGAGGAATTGACTGGGGACAAGCAAAAGAGGGTTGGCAGATATCCTTTGAGTGTTCAAGAGGTTAGAGGAGAACAGCAAGTGGCCAAGCTGGTAGTCTTCAGAGTCAGGATGCTGAGGGTGGTGCTGAGGTGGGGAAAGAGAGGGGGCTGCTGGCTACAGGGTGTACTTACACAAGTCAAAGACTTGAGACTGGGTCTAGGGTCTGATCCACTTGCCAGGACACAACAGTTCCCAAAGTCACTAGAACTGGAAGGAGAGTCCTAGGCCAACAACACCTGGAGACCAGGGAGGGTGACAAGACACCTTCCTGGATGGAGCTGGAAATTCCCTAACCTGGGTGTCTTACTGTGTGTGTATATGTTGTGCCCATTACTGTGTGTATTCTGTGTGTGCTTGTCTATGTGAGCATCTCTTTGTTTCTCTTGTCCCTTTGTATGACTTTTACCCATGAGAGTGAGTGTGTGTTAGTCTGAAGCAGTTACCCCTCCCCACTAGGTGTGAAGCAGGAGATACTGCAACTCAAACACCCCATTAGGGGTGCTCAGTAACAGAAAAAAGATAAATGAGGTGATCTATCCCAACAGAAGAGCATCTGGTAGGCCCTGAGATGGTAGGGGTAAGAAAAGCTAAGTCCTTGGCCTCCATTTGTTGTCTTTGTACAGGTGGCCCCTTGGGATCAGCCATGCACTGGCATGAGGAAGGAAAGGAAGCTCCTGTGTTATCAGTAGTTAGCTAGGCTGGGCAAGGTACCCTGCCTCACAGGTAAAAAGTTAATGGGATAGCCTAAGGTCATAAAGATTCATAGTCCCACCGCCCACCCCCATCTGTAGGGGCTAAAATCTCAAGAAAGCCAAGATGGAGGGTCTATGGCTACACACTTGGATTTCTTTGGGGGAACCATTGGATCCTCAACCTCCCACACACAGCTGGAGCAGTACTGAGGAGTCAAAAAAAGACCTAGGAATGAGGACTCTGAATGCTCCCACTAGTCAGTCCTGCTCTGGGTGCCTCCCTATCCCCCATCTACTTCTCACCAGCACAGGGGTAGAGAATGGGAGTATCCAAGACCATTAGGAGGCTGACCTCACAGAGTCTGTCACCAGCTAAGCCACCTACACAGAGGGAGAGGGTGGAGTCTGGCTGGGAACCTGTTCTTCCCACAAGAGTTGGGTATAGAGACATCATGTGTCTCCTTTCCAATCATGGGAGCCCTTAGCTTGCTTGTGTAAGATCAGGTGCTGCAACGCCATGGCTTCTATGAGAAGTGGGACAAAACTCACTTCTCCAGATGAAGTACAAAGGAAGGCATATACCCCTTCAGGGCTTTCTGGGCAGGTGCTCCTGATCAGTGGACAACCTCCTGCCCCCTGTTCCCACATGCACATCTCCCTGTCTCTGTCCCACCCAGGGCCAGGTGGTGGTGATTAAGCCACTTCCTGCTCAGATGTTTCCTAGAAATGAGTTGAGGAATGTTTGTAACCCTGAACTTGTTGGATTTTTAGGAACAGTGTCTCGTGTGGCAAGTACTTCTCTAAATTAACAAAGATATCTGGCCCTGTACTGACCCCTAAGAAGTCAAGGTGAGGGTGGTTTTCAGCTTATAGTGTGAGCCTAGGGCCAGCCTCTCCCAGCCCTCCTTTGTTCTTTGTTACCAGCCTGACCTATCTGCCTTTCTTCTAGATACAGGTGGCCCAGAAGACAACGGATGGTCTGGGGTGTCTTCTTCAAGTCCTGAGAAGGAGACCACTATGCTTCCCAAGGCACCCAGCACTTCCCCATAACCTTGGCAACTGCTGCAGCATGGGCTGCTCACTGTATCAGCTACTTTTATAAGCAAGAAGGAAAAAATAAGAGAGAAAATAAAATAAGCTGTATGCTATTTCCCACCATGGGTAGGTTTTTGTTGTTGCTATTGTTTTTTTCAAGACAGGGTTTCTCTGTGTAGCCCTGGCTGTCCTGGAGCTTGCTCTGTAGTCCAGGCTGGCCTCAAACCCACAGAGATCCATCTACTTCTGCCTTCCTAGTGCTGTGTGCCACCACCAGTACTGGTATCAAAGACCTGCACCACCACCTCCAGGCTAAGGTAGGATTAAAACGTTGTAGGACTTTGGGTCATTGGAGACCCACTGTGACCTCATCATTCTGGAGACTTCCTTTTTGACTTTCCTTCCTTTCCCAGACTTGCCCGGCCTGGGCCATTGGACCAGCGGAGTCTCCCTTGAGGCCTCCAATCCTTAGCCTCACAGTTGGGCTCCCTTGGCCTGGAAAATGAGCGCTTGGCATAATTTAGACTGGTTCCCATGGCTTCATGTCCGTGCTGCCACTAGCCTGAAATGAAACACTGAGAGCTCCTGCCCTGGACCAAGAACAGTCTGATCCTCATCCCTCCCCTCTACAAAAGGCATCTAGTTGAGTCCTCTAAGGTTGCCATAGGCCTTTGTCCTTTCTAACCTAAGACTGCTCTCTAGGAGAAGACCCTCAGATTGCTGGCACCCAGGCATGGGACCCCAGCCTCCTCCCTACAAGTGCCACTGAGGAAGGGATAAGCCTGTACCCGACAGTTGTCAAGGATCTGCCCGGATCCTCACAAGAGTGCAAGGCCATCCAAGAAATCACACACAGCCTGAACCCCTCTCCAACTTGTGGATAGGAGAGAAAGGAAAACTGTTGCCTTCCATTTCCAGTCCCCAAGTTGGGAACTCCCACTCCCAGAGACCCCCAAAGGCAAATGCTTTGACTTCCAGTCCTTTTACATAAAGGTTCTTATTCTTTAAAAACCACTTTTGAGTACAAAAAACATCTTTTTCAATGTAAGATGTTCCCTATGTTCCAACCATGTCTTCAAAATTGGCTGTCTCTGAAACATACTTGGCACATTTTTCTCCTGCCATTTTGTTCTATTGCTTTTACAGTTTTAGGGGTTTTTTTGTTGTTGTTGTTTTGTTTTTTGAGACAGGGTTTCTCTGTGGCTTTGGAGGCTATCCTGGAACTAGCTCTTATAGACCAGGCTGGTTTGGAACTCAGAGATCCTGCCTCTGCCTCCCGAGTGCTGGGATTAAAGGCATGTGTCATCACTGCCTGGCCTATAGGTGTTTTTTTTTTTTTTAATTAAAAAAGGACTAATTTTGTCTGCATGTATGCTGTGCAGCTTCTCACTTCAAAAGTGAGAAGCTGTTGGGTCCCCTGATACCACAGCCACAGATAGTTATGAGTTGCTATGTGGGCACTGGGAATAGAACCTAGGTCTTCTGGAAGAACAGTTAGTGCTCTTAACCACTGACCCATTACTCCAGCCCCATCGGGGCTGCTGCTTGTAATATTGCTATTCTGTTCAAACCCTGGAAGTTTGTTCTTTTGTCCTAATGCTCTTTTTAAATGGAGTCCACTGTGTTTTCTCTTTTGCTGTGTGCATTTGGTGGTCTAGTTTTGTCAGATGATAAGAAGTCCTCAGCAGGGTGTGGTAGCTATGCCTTTAATCCCAGCACTCAGAGGTGGGCTGGGGGTTGGGGTGGAGGGACAGGACCTAGGGAGATGGCTCAATTGGTAAATGCTTTCTGCTGCTCAATTATAAGGACTTATTTCTAACACACAAATGTGCGCGCACCACACACACACACACACACACACACACACACACACACACACACACACGAAGGCTTGAGAACAGAGTAAGGGGAGAAGGGGGAGCAGAAGGGGGCAAGGCTATCCTAACCTTTGTGTGCAAACCTCTATATGTATATTTTCCTGGGTTAAAGTGGCTGGCCCTTTCCAATACCCCTAGATCTCACAATTGCTGCTGGAGACCAGATGGTGGCGCGCGCGCGCAATCCGCACAGCTCCCGCATCTTCGTGGTACATGTGAGTGCTGAGCGCCTCCTGGAGTGCGGTCTTGGATTATACGTCTCAGTCAGTCCGGCAAGGCACTGAGTTAGAAGCAAGGCCTCCTTTTAAGGACCAGACACAGGATGGTTTCTTGCATCATATGATGTATTAGATTTATTGCCCCTGCTTCCTACTCCATCCCCACACCACAGTAGGCTAACACTACCAGGGAAGGGATCTCTGTCCCTTGGGCTCCTGAGTTTGTGGAGACCCTAAGGAGAGGAGCCTGCAGGGTCACCGAATGCACAGAGCATGGGAGGGAGAGATGGAACAGAGATTTGAGGTGACCAATTTGCGAAGGCGTATAGGTTCTGCCCATGTGTAGATCAGCTGTGTGGATGAGATTAGCCCCCCCCCCCCCCCCCCCCCCCCCCCCCGCGCGGGCGGGGGGGGGGGGGGGGGGGGGGGGGGGGGGGGGGGGGGGGGTGGGGGAGTGTTGCAGGAAGCTGGTATCATACTAATTCTGAGGGGAAGAGATGGCAAAGCAAGTGGGGAGCCAGTCCTAGGACCTTTCAGCTAGGTTAAAAGCAAGGAAGAGCAAGCAGTCCTCCCTGTGGGAGCCATCCTCCTGCTTCTGCCTCCTGATTACTAGGATTACAGGTGAGCAACCACCATACCTGTTCTTTTTTTTTAAAAGATTTTATTTATTATGTATGCAACATTCTGCTTCCATATATATCTGCACACCAGAAGAAGGCACCAGATCTCATTACACATGTTGTGAGCCACCATGTGGCTGCTGGGAATTGAACTCAGGACCTCAGGAAGAGCAGTTGGTACTCTTAACCTCTGAGCCATCTCCAGCCCGACCATACCTGTTCTTAAATTTTGGCTCTTTTAAAATAGGGCTCATTGTGTCCTTGAACTCTTGATTATCTTCCATCTCCCAAGAAGCTAGAGAGAGAGGGATGGAGGGAGGGAGGGAGGGAGGAAGGAAGGAAAGAAGGAAGGAAGAAAGAAAGAAAAGAAAGAAAGAAAGAAAGAAAGAAAGAAAGAAAGAAAGAAAGGAAAAGAAAGTTCAGGAAGGTCACCGGCCTAAGAACGCATTTAAGCCAACACTACAGTCAAATCGTATGAAAGGCCCGGGTGTCTCAATAAAGACTGCTGATATCCTCTCACTGAGGATGCCCCGCCTGCATCCCTACAACAAATTCACCTGCCGCCCTGCCCCAGCCCCTGCCCCTCTCCCTCCCCCCAACAGTAGCCGGTCCAAGGGTTGTCCCACCTCCTCCATGTTAATAGACCCGCCCCTGTACGCTGATTGGCTAAGGTGTTAGGTTGGCACTGAGCAGAGAAGACCCGGAGAAGTAATTCCCGCCTCGGGAATGGCTCGGCGCCTCTGCTGCGCATGCTCACTAGTTGTGTTATGGCGTTCCAAGCCGGCTCCGCGCGGGGGCGCGCGCGCGGGCACGGGCTCGCTCCCCGGGGTGCAGTTGGCGGCGGGATCGGGCGCTCAGGTCCTTGTTCTTAGAGCTGCCCCGGCTGCTAGGCCGACGCCTCCGTTGGCGGAGACCCACACGAAGGACCGCGTGGCTCAGCCGCGGGTGAGGACGGGCCCCTACGGGCGGGAAGGTCCGGCCCGCGGGGCGATGCCTGGTCCGGCTGCCCCCGGGTCGGGCCCGGTAATGGGGAGGGGCCCCAGCCCCGCAGCTCGGGCTCGGGCTCGGACTCGGGTCGCCTCCTTGTCGGTCATCCGCGGTGCGTCTCCTTTCTCCCTGCTCTCTGCACCAACCCACCTGACCCCTGTGCCGATCTCACTATCCTTAAATCCGGGATCACACATTCTCCCGTCTTCCTCGGACCGTGTCCACCCTGCCCACTGCGTGCCAGCCTGGCTCTGTCGCGGCCCATCCTTGCGGCCGCAGGTCCCAGTGACCTTGCACTTTTTGCCGGTTGTTATCCCTCTGACTATAGATTGCCCCTTATGGCTTTCAAACTTTGTGACTCATTCTAGCCTGAGAAACATGTTTTATGTGTATATTCAGTGCCTGACGATAGATTCGTGAATCACAAGTTTAAAGAGAGCCGCTTACTCGGCTCACTGACGCAGATCTATTAGCCTCTGTTCTAATTCATTCCTTTCTCTTCGGTTCCATTCTGTTCTATTCCAAATGACTGACTCGCTAACGCATTGATTCAAGACTTAGTTTATCTGACGGCTTTAAACCCTCCTTTACTCCTTACTCCCATAGTCAAAGATCTTTTTGTTGTGGTGGTGGTGGTTTTGTTTTGTTTGTTGTTTTTTTTTTTTTTTTTTTTAACGTTTCTGCTTTCCAAGATCCATACCATTGCTGGGGCTTTTTTTAGGTTTTCTGGTATGATTCAGGTATATTTTTCTCATTGTTCTTCCAAGAGCCAGTAGTCTGACATGTGTGGAAAAAAAAAAACAAAAAAAACTGAAGTTGTGACTAAGGGAGCTTCTTATGGGTGAGCTGATGAGATGCTTGCCTATGACCAAGATGGCTTTTACTGGAGGCGTGCGTGTGTAAACTTGATTTTTAAGAAGAGTAATTTGTCAGCTTGTCGGTACTCTTGGGGAGAATTGGAGTGGCCAAAGATGAAGACCATCAGAGCACTGCCCAGATTTAGCTGGGCTGAAGAGGAGGCAGTGAGGAAGGACAGGCCTTGATTACAGGAAAGCAGATGAAAGATGGTGTGACTACATATACAGAGAGTGGCATTTGAGGGTACATCAGGCTAGGCAAAGGAGTACATTAGTCAAGATGATTCTGGTCTAGGATGATTGGGGAATGTATCAGTTGGCTTGCCGTGTTTCCTTATCGTGTGTGTGTGTGTGTGTGTGTGTGTGTGTGTGTGTGTGTGTGTGTGTGTGTGTGTTAACTAAGGCCTGTTCCATCACTCTGCCTTATTCCTTTAAGACACAGTCTCACTGGACCTGGAGCTATCCTGAAAGCCATATCTCTGCCTTCTACAGCACTGGGGTCACAGTCTACCCTCACTTGAATGCTGCTATCTGAGCCAATGTCCTCATGCTTATGCAGCAAGTGCTGTTGTCTGCTGAGCCATCCTCACCCCACCCCCATCCCCAGCTTTCCGAATCTATGACAAAATACTTCAGAGTTGTTGTACTCCTCAGGGGGGTGGGGGATAATAACATTGAGAAAAAAAGAATGAAAACACATTAATTTTCTTTGGTTTTGGAGAATCTAGTCCAAGATCTGGCAGTCGAATTTCCTTACAAAGGGTGAGCTGTGTGGTGATGGCTCGGAGCATATAATAGAGCAAGCTGCTCCTATCATAGTCAGGAAGCAAGAGTGAGAAGGGCTGACTGGGGTCCCCGTAGGTTGCTCAAGGGCATATACCCCAGTGATCTAAGGGCCTCCCCTAAAGGTTTCATGACCTCCCAATGGTGCCACATTGATTGTTTGATTTCTAAAAAAAAAAAAAATTCTACTGAGACAGGGTCTTTCTATATAGGTCTGACACCTAGAATTCAATATGTAGCCCAGGCTGGCCTTGAACTCACTCTGTAGACTAGTCTGGTCTTGAACTAACAGAGATCCTCCTGCCCCTCCCTCCTGAGTGCTGGCATTTCACCACCATGTCCTGCTGCAGTGTCTGTATTTCTAATTGCTTTGAAACAGTGCTCTCAGACAGTCTACTGTTGTCACCTCTCCACCCAAGACAGCCAGCAGTATTGCTTCCACAGTTACTTGGAAAAAGAGGTGATAGTGGATTTTATGTAGTATACAGATACCAGAGGGGCCGATAAACACCCTACCTGCCCTGCCCCTCGAAGTGAAGCAAGATCAGGTCTAGAATGCCACCAGTGCTGAGGGTGTGAAACTCCACTTCAGAGTAGTCAATGGCAGTCTTTCTGGGAATTGCTACCATCTTCATCCTGTCAGGAGTGATGCTTGCCCACATAATTTCACTTACAGTATCTCATTTGATACTTGGTAGGGAATGTGGGGGGGAGGTCAGAGGAGGAAGCCAGGAATGGCTCTCCACCTTATGTTTTGAGACAGAACCTCACACTGAACCTGAAGCTTACCATTTCAGTGAGACTGGGTAGCAGCAAGCTCCTGAGATTCCAGTACTGGGGTTACAGACAGTCATGTGACCCTGTTTTACATAGATGCTGTGTAGTATTCTGACATGATAAGTTCTCAGCTGCAGTCACTAAGAGCACCACCTGTGTACATTCACTACTTTCCCCTTTAAAAGAGCCCTGCCCACCTCCCATCTTTCTTTCTCTCCCTCTGTCTGTCTGCCCTCTCCCCTGATTCTCTGCCTGTCTCTCTTTCCCTCACCCTCATCTCTGCCTCTCTTCTCTCTTCTGTTGCTCCTGTCGCCAGAGGCCGGGGGCATATACCTTCCTCCTTTTCCCCATTCCCTTTGCCCTAATAAGAAACCCCTCCATGTGAGCTTTCTCAAATGGCATCTTTCTCTCTTGTGATGCTTTTTATTTTTTTTTAAGATTTTATTTATTTATTATGTATACAACATTCTGCTTCCATGTATATCTACATACCAGAAGAGGGCACCAGATCTCATAACGGATGGTTGTGAGCCACCATGTGGTTGCTGGGAATTGAACTCAGGACCCCTGGAAGAGCAGTCGGTGCTCTTAACCTCTGAGCCATCTCTCCAGTCCTCTTGTGATGCTTTTTAAATTACGACATGCTGGGGAGTTGAATCCAGTATCTCATACTTTTACAGCAAGTACTCTTACCCACTGAGCCTTCTCCCCTGACCCTCATTCACCGGTTTTCCTACTTTGTAGGTGAGTGGCCAGGGAAATTCTGGTAATACCATGCAAGGGCATGGTAATATAGTTTATCTCCCATGTAAAGGTAAACTGTTGCTCTGCTGTTAGCTGTCAAGAGAGGCTTCTGGCTTTCAGGATTTTAGTAGTTAGCGATTGGACTCACTTGTGTCTGAGAGGCACTGATTAATTCCTAACATTGCAGGGCCTCTTGGCCTGCTCTGAGCAATGTGTGACCATCTGCAGGGCCACAGTGGGAGAGCTGTAATCACCCAGCTCTGACCTCAGCACTGAGGGAGGAGAGGGGATGGAGAGTAAACCACAAACTTTATAGACTCTTGAATGTGCTGTTCACATCTGTCTAACCTGAACACACTGTGTTTTCATTATAGACTTATATTGGGTGAGAAGTAGATATTGCAAAATAAACACATTAAAGCTCAAGTTGATGGGCGAAGTAAATAAAACAAGGCAGGGCATGGTGGCACACATCTGTAATCTTAGCATTTGGAGGTAGAGAAAGGAGAACCAGTCACACATCTGTAATCTTAGCATTTGGAGGTAGAGAAAGGAGAACCAGTCATTCAAGACCAGTCACAGCTGCATAATATAATGGGTATGATGCCAACCCCGGGCGGAGGTAGGTGGATCTCCTTGAGTTCCAGGCCAGCCTGATCTACATAGTGAGACCTGGTTTCGACAAGGGAAAAAAAAATCCCCAAACAAACAAATCCTGATGGGCTGGATAGATGACTCAGCAGGCACAGGCACTTGCTGCCATGCTGAGGACCTGATTAGATAACCAAAATCCATCTTGACCATAGAGAACTGACTGCTGCCTATCTCTTGGCCTCCGTGCACTGTACCTCACACACATGTGATCCAGTGCATGCAGACATTCACATAGACAACAAATACAATGTATTTTAGGGTTTTATTTTTGTTTTGGGGGTTTTCAAGACAGAGTTCTATGGGTAGCCCTGGATGTCTTGAAACTCTGTAGACCTCAAACTCAGAGATCTACTTGCCTTTGCCTCCAGAATGCTGGGACTAAAGGTGTGCACCACCACTCGGCTTTGTTGTTGTTTTTAAACTGAAATAGGGTTGGGGACATGGCTCGGCCAGCTAGCTGTGAGGGCTGGTTTGGATCCTATTGTTTATGTAAGACTAGGTGTGGTATCATGCATCTGTAGTCCTAGCTTTGGTGTTGAGGCGGGAGACAGGCGAAGTTCAGGACTCTGGTAAGCAAGCTAGCCTGGCATTTCCTTCCAGAAGGGAATAAGAAACTTCCTCAAATGAGGTGAAGGCAAAGACTGACACCCGAGGTTGTCATCTGACCTCCACATCCATGATGCTCTTGCCCACACTTATACTCAAGCACATGTGTATACCCTCATGTACATACATACAAAGACACACAAAGATAAAAAAGCAGGATTGTGTGGAGAACCCCATGTCCCCATCAACATGAATGTCAGCATCTTACACTTTTTATCTGGTTTTTATTTATTTGTATGTGTTTGTGTGATGTGGGAGAGGCCTCATGCTATGACACTTGGGTGGAAGTCAGAAGACAACTCTATCTATAGAATCAGTTCTGCTTTTATGTGGCTTCCAGGGAGCAGGCTTGCACAGTCAGTGCTTCTACCCACTGAGATATCCTACTGGCCTTGATTTTTGTTTGTTGAGACAAGACCTGATTATGTAGCCCAGACTGGCCTCAAATTCTGCCTCAGCCTCCTGAATGAACTGTCCTCATGCCTGGTTTTATTTGCTTCTGGGGAGTAAAGTAGCCTTATATTCACCAGGCAAGCATTTTTTTTAAAGGATTTATTTATTTATTATGTATACTATGTTCTGTCTGCATGTATGCCGGCAGGCCAGAAGAAAGCACCAGATCTCATTACAGATGGTTGTGAGCCACCATGTGGTTGCTGGGAATTGAACTCAAAACCTCTGGAAGAGCAGCCAGTGCTCTTAATGTCTGATCTATCTCTCCAGCCCCACCAGGCAAGCATTTTAGCAACTGAACTACATCCCCAAATCCATTTTTTTAATAGTTTTTTTTCCGGTTCTTGTTTTGTTTTTTATTTATTTATTTATTTTTTTAGCCTGCATGTATGTCTGTGTGAGGGTGTCAGACCACCTAGAACTGGAGTTACAGTTATGAGCCACCATGTGGGTGCTGGGAATTATACCCAGGTCCTCTGGAAGAGCAGCCAGTGTTCTTAACTGCTGAGCCATCTCTCCAGCCCCCCTCCATTGGTGTTTTTAAATACAGAGTGTACAGTCATCACCATGGCCAATTTTGGGACACTTTCATGATTGTAGATGAAAACCTACACCCATTAGCAATCACTTCTCAGTCTCCAGATCCCACCACTCAATTGTTTTCAGTCTCTATATGCTGGCCCTCTCTAAATATTTCATATAAACAGGTCCTAAGAGACTGATCTTTTCTTACTGGTTTCGTTCACTGAGGGTATTAAAAAAGAAGCAGTAGCTGGGCAGTGGTGGTACACGCCTTTAGTCCCAGCACTGGGGAGGCAGAAGCGATCTCAGTGAATTTGAGGTCAGCTTGATCTACAGAGTGAGTTCCAGGACAGTCAGAGCTACACAGAGAAACCCTGTCTTGAAAAAACAAACAAACAGCCTGGTGGTGGTGGTAGTGCACACCTTTAGTCCCAGCACTCAGGAGGCAGGAGGATCTCTCAGTGAGTTCCAGACCAGCCTGGTTTACAGAGTGAGTTCCAGGACAGGCTCCAAAGTCACAGAGAAAACCCTGTCTCGAAAAATCAAAAATATATGAATTGCGTGTTTTTTGTTTCTGTTTTGTTTTTTTTTTTTTTTTTTTGACTCAGGGTATTACTATGTAGTCATGGCTAACCTGGAACTTACTATGTAGACCAGGCTGGTCTGGAACTCTGAGATTCATATGCCTCTATCTCCTGAGTGCTAGGACTAAAGGCATGTGCCACTACGCTCAGCTTTAAAAAAAAAAAAAAAAATTTAAAGAAGCTAAAAATGTCTGGAGTGTTACCATCTTATTTAATGGCTCTTATTGGAAGGTGGGAAATTCATTGCTAACTACATATTACTCAGTTGTCCCAGAAAGACAGGAAGGTCAGCCCATCCTGGGGTAGCATCCCATATCTGACCATCCTTGTCCAGACTGGAGCCCTGGAACCTAAATGCCTAGCTAAGGCAACACCAGGAACAGAAGTTGCAAAGTCAATGCAAAGGGCCTCCAGTATCTGGAGGAATGGGCTGAGTTGAGGCCTCCAGAGTAGGTCAGAGGATAACCTGTGTGAGCCTAGAGTCCCATTTTCCGGAGCTAGGTATCAGGCTTTTGCCATGCAGGGTACTAGCACTTACTGGCCTGGATTCTTTGAGACAGGTACCCAGCACTGAGGTGAACTGCACAGGACCAAGCCTAGGTAGGCACCCAGACATCTGAGCAAGCACAGTGGTATTTCGTCCTCTTCATACTCAGGCAAGTCTGGTTCCTGTGCCTCTCTTACCTTTTAGATGGGTCACTAAGAATGGTCTGGAAGGGATCTATGCTGGACATTGATGAGGCTTCTAAGGTAGAAACTCAATAGCTAGTACATTAGTCACCAGCAGCCCTGGAGAGGCTTGGGTGGGGCTGCCAGCAAAGGTACTACTGGTAGTCCATCCACCCAGGGCTCCTACTTATATCAGGTCCTATTGTGTGCGCTCAATGATGATCCGTAGGCCGTAATGCTAAGATTTCTTTATTCAGAAAAACACCAGCCCAAACGCAAGCCAGAGCGTGCCCAGAGGCCACAAGCTAGCGTGGCCAGAAAGAAGGGCACTCCACATGTTCGTGGCCTCTTTTTAAGAATTCTCTCCCCGTTATCTTTGACCTCCCCTGACCATGCCCTCACGGGTGTGGCCAAGCACACCTGTAGGGGCTACTAGGAGGCGGGGCTACAGTGTCTCCCTACAAGGTCCCTCTGCAGCCTCTCAACCCCAGGGTACTGAGGAAATTCCATCTCCCCCAGGCTCCATTGCAGATCCACTTATTAGAGCCCCAGGCCCAGGAGCTTCCTCCACTAACTGCCTTGGTTCCTCTCTTAGGACGGAGCCTCTGGGCTCTCACAGTCCGGCTTGGGTGGAAGAGGAAGAAGGGGAAGAGAGATACATCTACCAGAAGGCTCAAGGTGGCCTGAGGGCCAGACTCTCAGACCCAAGATGCCCCTACCTGAGCCCAATGAGCAGGAGAGTGAGAGTGTGAAAGCTGGCCAAGAGCCATCTCTTGGAGCCAGGAAGCCCCAAGAGCCCTCCAATCTGGTCAAGGATAAAGGAGGATCCAAACCAACAGGTGCCATGGCCCTAGAGACCTCGGGTCCTGCCACCCTATCCAGCAACACTTCCCAGACTTTGCCGGCCAAGAAGCAGGGACGGATAATTCACCGGAAACGTAGCAGGGTAGATGCAGGTGAGATTTCCTGATCCTGCTGGTCCTGGCTCTGCCAAATCTGTTGACCTACACACCCTCATTTTCCATCAGGGTGACCTTGGATATTCCATTCTTCCTTCCTTTCAATTGTGCCATTTAGTGTCTAAGTACATCCTGTGTCCCAAGCACCAGGCCCACTCCCCAAGCTCATGGGAACTGCAGCTATATGCAGCTAAATTCCTTAAATTTCCCTTAGTAACAAAAGCAGCTTCTAAAACCTGAATTTGCCTGGCAGTTAGGAACCTGAGAAAGCATCCTGCCTACAGGACTCTACCCTATTCAGAGACCCACTCACCAAGGCCCCTGAACTTGACCCTTGCCCTAGAGAAGCTAACCCAGCCTTTTTCATACCCTCAGCTGCCCCTCAGCCCCTGGAGTTCCTGAAGACCCAATATGGGGGCCGCCTTCTAGTGCACAAGTCATTCCTGTACAAGCAAGAGAAGGCTGTGGGGGACAAGGTATACTGGAAGTGCCGCCAGCACTCAGAGCTAAGCTGCCGGGGCCGGGCCATCACCCGTGGTTTTCGGGTCACAGTGATGCGGGACCATTGTCACCCACCTGATGAGGAGGGCCTGCAGGTCCGGCGCCAGAAGGAGAAGCCGCCTAGCTCAGACCTGCCTGAAGGCTCTGAAGGCCAAGAAGAGGGGGTGAGCCTATGGCTGTACCCTGTGGAGCCAGAGCCCACCCCTCAGCAAAGCACTGAAACCCCAGAGGAGGACCAGGGGTACCGATCTCTGGCACTGCAGAGTTTGCCTCCCAAGAAACGCCCCACACCAGGAGTGGGTGAGTACATGTCCTCTTCTCAGTTGGAGCGGGAAAGAACCCTCAGATCCTTCATGACCAAATTTAAAAAAGTGTGGGGTTTCATGAGGGTTCTTAAAATATGCTCAAAGTCAAAACTATAAATGCACCCCAGTCAACATTAAGCCCATGGGACAGACAGCATTGTGGGGGAGAGGGGATCCTAGAAATCTGCATGCTGATGGCCAGGGTTCAGTGATTCAGGCTAAGTTTGGGTAGGGTTCCCAGGGGCAAGGTGTGGCTTTTGAGTTACAGGTTCAAATTCTAGCCCCGAGGATTGAGGCCTCAGTCTCAGAAAATTCATGTGAGTTCTGGGGTCCCAGGAGCTTATTCCTGAGGCAGGTTGTGGAACTTGTGGCAGGGAGGGGGGAGTGTGATGCTGATCACTTCGTATTCTGCACAGCTTAGCTAGCTGAGAGGTGGTGCATTCTTAGAGTTGGTTGGTGTGGTTTCTGGGAGGCTGGATGTTTCCTGACCCATAAAGAGCTGTGAGGATCTGAGTGGCCACACTGGGTTCTGGTGAGAGGGAGCATCTATTCACATATGTTAAGAATATTTGAGTGTGTGCCTATCCTATATTACTCAAAAAGAGGGGCTAACAATGTCACTCGGTGGTAGAGCGATTGCCAAGCATGTTTGAGGCCTTAGGCTTAATTCTTTTTTTTTTTTTTTTTAAGATTTATTTATTTATCATGTATACAGTGCAGGCCAGAAGAGGACACCAGATCCCATTACAGATGGGTGTGAGCCCCCATGTGGTTGCTGGGAATTGAACTCAGGACCTCTAGAAGACTAGTCAGTGCTCTTAATCCCTGAGCCATCTCTCCAGCCCCTTAGGCTTAATTCTATACACTGTAAAAACAAAAAACCTAGACAAAAATTTTGAAGAAACCCTAGAAAAATATGGCTAAGAGTGGCCCAGAACATAACCTGTGAATCAGAGCCCAGTTTGGCCTCTCCCATTGTGGTGTGAACTGGTGGACTGAGATATAATTGACTTGGAAAGGAACCTTGTTCCTCTTGGGTGGCTTGCTGGGAATGCACTGGGCTTCACACATGCCCAGCTCAGGGAAGTATGTCCCAAAGCATTTGGGAGAAAAATACTTGGCAGTTCCTCCTGGGACCCTGGACTCTTGTCCTTGGTGTGTGACCTTCTTGGGTTCTTCCTCCAGTACGGTATCGGCCCCTTGAGTTCCTGAAGACATGCTACGGGGGCACTTTCCTGGTACATCAGTCCTTCCTCTACAAGCGGGAGAAGACTGTGGGGAGCAAGGTGTACTGGACCTGCCGGGAGCATGCGGTCCATGGCTGCCGTAGCCGCGCCATCACCCAGGGCCAGCGCGTGACAGTGATGCGCAGCCACTGCCACTCCCCTGACATGGAAGGCCTGCAGGCCCGGCGACAGCAGGAAAAGACCATCAAGAAGATACAGGCGAGGCGAATTGGTGCTGGGGACTTGGAAGATTGTGATGACATTGAGGACACACTGCTCCAAGGGGTGGACAGCCTCTTCTACCGCAGGGGGAAGAGAACCCTGACTCTCAGTAGGTCCAGGTCCAGGTCCAGGTCCAGAAAACGAGCAAAGAAGCGCAAGGAATCCTTTCAGGAACCCCCGGAGCAGGAGGACCAGGATGTGGACCCCAGTGAGTCTTCGTGTTTGGAGCCTGCTGACCAGAGTTGGCTGCCTCATTTTGGGAGGGGGTGGCCAGCCTTCTCAACCTAACCCTGCATTCTTAATCCACATCCTCTCCCCCAACCCTAACTGCCTTTCCCATGCTCTGCAGGAGGCCCAGAGTTCCTGAGGACCCCTCTAGGGGGCAGCTTCCTGGTGTATGAGTCCTTCCTCTATAGGAGGGAGAAAGTAGCTGGTGAGAAGGTGTACTGGACTTGCCGGGATCAGGCACGAATGGGCTGCCGCAGCCGAGCCATCACTCAGGGCCGGCAGGTGACTGTGATGAGAGGCCACTGTCATCCACCTGACCTGTTAGGACTGGAGACTCTGAGGCAGCGGGAGAAACGCCCCGGCCCCACTCAGTGGGATGGCCCAGGTACCTGCTGTGACCCCACAGCTTTTCTTTTTTCTATTGGTTATATGTGTCCTGCCCTCTCTCCTTCTGTAAATATTCTGGAAATCACAGTCCTCTCTTCTATGTCCCCTACTTCGGCCCCCATACTTAGTCCATCTGGGATTTGATCTCCCAGGTTTCTCTTTACCTGCCTACTTATTCTTCTAGGCCCAAAACCTGATAAACCTAATCTCTCCTCTGTTATTTTAAGAGTTATCAGTAGAGGCTGCTGAATGTGTGAGGTCAGATCCTCATTCCTACAGTGTAAGCAGAGGGCAGCAAGTCAGTCTCAGAGTCTGGGAGCTGAAAGCGCCAAACCTCTGTCCAGCTTTATCTGTTGTATACCTGCATGCCAGAGTCCTAGCTCTGCCCATTCAGCTCCAGAAGAGCCTGGTGTCTGCCTAAGGAATGTGGTTGTAGCTAGCCTTCTCACCTGCCAGCGCTTAGTTCTTCAGCCCACACTCACAGTCTCCCAGTCCTGTAGTTTTTGGAGTCCTTTGAGTTACCTTTTGGTCCTAAACTTATTCCAGATACAGGAGGTGTTTTATCATCCTTACTCCCTGTTTTTTTTTTTTTTTTTTTTTTTTTTTTTTTTTGGTTTTTCGAGACAGGGTTTCTCTGTGACTTTGGAGGCTGTCCTGGAAATAGCTCTTGTAGACCAGGCTGGTCTCGAACTCACAGAGATCCACCTGCCTCTGCCTCCTGAGTGCTGGGATTAAAGGCATGCTTGTTCTGTTTTTATGACAACCCTTATAAACGAGGAGATGATGCCAGGACATGACATCACCCCCAGCCCTGTACATCCCTACTCTAAGCATTTGCTTCCCCGTTTCTTAAAATGCATTCTACCGTTGTTATATTAATCCATTTAATCCATTTTTCAATCTCCTCATTACCTGCTGATGTCCAGCCATAGGAACTGATTTAGCTTTGCTATAGTTTCTGAGTAGGTTTTTATGCTTTTTGTTTGTTTGATTATGGGTCATTGTTTTGTTTTTTGAAACTTAAGAAGTCTCAACTAAATAGCTTTGAATGACCTCAGACTCAGAGATCTGCCTTCCTCTGTGTGTGTGCACATGTGGGCAAGTGTGCACAAGCATGTCATGTATAAGTACGGGCATATTTTAGCATACATGTATCAGTCCAAGAACAACATGTAGGAGTTAGCATTTCCTTCTGTCATGTAGGTCCTGGGGATTGAACTGAGACTGACAGTCTTGAAGGCAAGTGCCTTTGTTTTCTGAACTGTCTTACTAGCCCCTGCCTTCTATTCTTATCAAATTCTGCCCCTGCTAAGCTGGGACTATCCTTCACTTTTCTTTCCTTCCCTGTGTGGATATCCAAAGCTGCTGTGTGTGCCTCTTTTTCCAGGGACCCATCACTGCCTCCATCCTTCTCCACTGTCTTTAAATCACATCAACAAATGACTCCAAAGCCCTGCTGATTCAGCCTTGCCTGGGGACTGGTGCTAAGCCTGACCATCACCTAGATTTCCTTGGCCAAGTGCCCTGCCTCTGGGCTTTCTTGTCTTGGTTTGAAAGGTCCTTGAACCAGTCATCTTGGAGGACCTGTTTGAGACCATGCCCATTAGGAGTTGTTGTTGATTTCCTCATACACTTGCTGGATAGTGTGGCTGTCTGAGAGTGCCAGGCTGTAAAGTGTCACTCCACAGTAGTTGAATCTATTTGAAAATAACACAGTCTTTTTTCTTATGGCTGACCCTAGAGGTGTGACCAGATTCTGCTGTAGGACTTGGGAATCTTCTGCCTCCCTGATGTGCCAACACTGTGGTTCCCTAGGTTCCTTTTCAGACCATAGCTTGTGTTTGTCAACAGTGTCTTCCTTATATGTTTTTGTTCTGTTCTGTTCTGTTCTTTTTGAGACAGGGTCTCTCTGTGTACTCCTGGCTGTTCTGGAGCTTGTTATGTAGACCAGGCTAGATTTGAACTTGAGGAGATCCTCTTGCCTCTGCCTGAGTGCTGGGATTAAAGGTACGAGACACCATGCCTGGTGCAACACAGTGTCTTCTCATATGCCTGCCTAATGCTCCTGTTCCATGGCTTTCTATGACCAGAGTTACACAGTCATTGATCCTCCTGTGATGACCCTGGTCACTTTTGTAGTACTATCTAAGATTTTCTAGGTTTTGTTTTCTGTTGCTTCTATTAAAGCTTTAAGTTTCTGCCCTCATACAAAAGGCGGAATACAAAAATGACTTTTCTGTATTGTGCCGAGTCTTGGCAGAATGATGGCCCCTGCCTGTGTCCTGCTGAGGCAATAGCTGGTTTCTCCGGGCACAGTCTTCACCAGCCTGCTTTGGTGTCTGCCTTCCAGAATGAGCTTTCCTCATGTGCATTGGCCTTCCAGGCCTGTTCATATAAAAGGAAGGCCCTGGCCTGTCTGTGCACAGGGCCTGACTTAGCCTCTGCAGAGCTGGAGTTCTGGGTCTTAGGAATATTCCAACACAGACTTCTGTCTTCTCCCTTTCAGTGTCTTGTCTCTTCTGGGCCACCCTGCTTTGTTCCACATATATAAACCCACCTTGATGCCCTTGTGCCTCTAGTTCCTCCAGTGCCTCTCTGGCTCAGCCACTGTCTACATGTTTGCTGTAGATCTTGTTGGCCAAGTTCTCTTGTTTATTGTGTAAATGAGTGTTTTTCCTTCATGTGTGTTTATGCTTATTGGAGGCCAGAGGCAGCACTGGATCCCCAGGAACTGGAGTTACAGATGGCTGTGAGCTACTGTGTGGGTGTTAGAAACTGAACCTGGGTCCTCTGAAAGAGCAGTCAGTGCTCTTCATGGCTGAGCCATCTCTCCAGCCCCTTGGCTCAGGTTGTATCTTGCTACATCTTTAACATTTTACAATTCCTCTGCCTCTGTTCACCCTGTTCACTCTGTGTTTTTGGCTTACTGTTTCTCTATCCTTGTGCTCTACTATTTTTATTTCCTGAAAGCCATTTTCTTTGAAAGTGTTCACGAATATAGCTGTTTTGTTTGTTTATATGTTTATGTACCATGTGTGTGCCTGGTGTCCACAGAAGCTGTGCCTGGTACCTGTGGATGCCAGAAGAGGGAATCCGATTCCCTGGAACTGGAGTTATAGATGGTTGTAAGACTTTGTGTGGCTGCTGAGAATCGAACTTGGGTCCTCTGGAAGAGCAACCTGTGTCTCTTAACAGCTTAACTTCCATCTCTCCAGCCCTACCCTGACAAACATTTTACTCCAGTGTGGAGGAGGTGGACCATTCCCTACAACCACAAGGCTTGCTCTCCTCCCTCTTGTCCTCTGGGCTGCTTTTGTCTGCAAGTGGTCCTAACCTGCTGGTCTCCTTCCCCACCTTTCTAGTTTTCTGGAGTCAGATGCTTCTACCCAAGCCCTTAGCCTCTCAGGGCCACACACACCCCAACTTCTTTCGTCATCTGATGACTCCCTAGTCTGTCACTGTCTTCAGTGTTCCTACTGGTATGGCCCATTAAGCCCTGCTTAAAGTATTTCCTAATCCAAAGTCCACATCCTGCCAACAAACAGCATGATCAGACAGACCTGCCACAGAAATGCCTGGCTCCCTGGTACCAACTTCTGTCTTAGTCAGTGTTGTATTGCTGTGAATACACACCATAACCCTGACAACTCTTATAAAAGAACATGTTTAATTGGGATTTGCTTACAGTTTCAGAGATTTAGTTCATTATCATCGAGGTGGGGGGCATGGCAATACAGTAGACATGGTACTGGAGAAGTAGTTGAGAGTTCTCCGTCTACTTCTGTAGGCAGCAGGAAGAGAGAGAGCCACTAGGTCTGGCTTGGGCTTCTGAAACCTCAAAAAAAGCCCACCCCAGTGATATAACCCCTCCAACAAGGCCACACCTCCCAATCCTTTTTAATAGTGCCACTCCCTGGTGACCAAACATTCAAATCTGTGAGGCTATGGGAGCCATTCCTGTTGAAACCAACCACAGCAGCCCTTGTGCCTGGTCAAAATGATGACAAGTAGTAGGGGAGTGGTAAGAGGATCTTCTGAGCAAGATTAGGCTGTCTTTCAGGTTCCTCTTACCTCCACAGCTCAAGCTTAAGCCTAGCAACCACACATATACAGCCCTTGGGCTCGTGACTAAAACTCCTCTCTTCAGCTCTGAGTGCGCTGACCCCAACTCACTCTTCAGACTATGGAGTACCTGCTTTCTGGCCTGGAGGGCACCTAGTATAAGCGAGCAAACAAATACCCTGCCCCCTTCCTACACTATCATGATGGAAGCCTTTTCCTGCAGGGATTGGCCTGGCCAGTCTCCAGCCTTGGGACAGGTAGACCCTGGACCCTGAGGGTACAGTGGGGTTTGAGGATACAGAGCTATCTCATTGTGAGCAGGGGGGAAGGCATGAAGTGGATGGTAGGGTTTCTCCAACACATATGGTGTTCTTGGCTATGAAAATAGGAACATTCCCCAATGCTCCCCTCCTAATGTCAGGTTCAGCTTCCATGCTCCCTTCCCTGATTGCATCCCTGTTTTCTTTACAGAGGGGCCAGAGTTCCTGAAGACCCCTCTCGGGGGCAGCTTCCTGGTGTATGAGTCCTTCCTCTATAGGCGGGAGAAAGCAACTGGCAATAAAGTGTACTGGACTTGCCGAGACCAGGCACGTATGGGCTGTCGTAGCCGTGCCATCACACAGGGCCAGCGGGTGATGGTGATGCGCAGGCACTGCCACCCACCTGACATGGGTAGCCTGGAAGCCCTGCGGCAGCGAGAGAACTTCCCTAACCTAACCAACTGGGAAGGCCCAGGTATGTGGAGGGAGAGTGGCTTCTCCTCTTTGCCCTACAACATTCCAGTCCCTTTCCAGGCTCTGTGCTTGAGGCACTAATTTTACCATGTGATTGATTGCTATTGCTGAGAGACACTAGTTCTGGCCCACAGAAAAAGTGAGGGTGGTGGGCCAGGGGTGGCATGGCTGGAAGTCGCCAGTGACTCATGGCTGAGCAGTATAAAGACCCTCTCTCCCAGGGCCTCTTCTTTCTCCTGTCTTCTCCCCAGGGCCTGTTCTGCTCTAGCAAAGTCTGAAAATGGTTTTGTGGCCAGCTGGTGGGTGGGGAAATAACAGGCCCCCACTACACAGAACAGATGAATCACTGGCCTTCCAGCAGGGCGCCACCTCTGTCTGGTAGACCCCAGGAAGCATGGAGTTTGTGGTCTTGCAAGGTCTCCAGCAGAGCTCCAGGGACAGCCCAGGCAGCATTGGAGCCTCTGCAAAGGAAAGCAAGTATGTATTAGAGTCTGAGGACCATGGCTGAGCATTAGTTCCCAGAACCCCAAGGAGCAGGCAAAGTGAAGGGGACAGGGTCCAGAGAGGATCCTCTTGGGATTGCAGTGGACAGAGAAAGGCCAGTCTCCTGTTGCCTAGGGCTGGGCTCCAGTGGTCCCCTCACAGCATGACTGTGCCCCTACAGAGCCTCTGCAGCCACTGGAGCTCCTGCGGACACCCCTTGGAGGCCGGTTCCTGGTGTACGAGTCCTTCCTGTACAGGAAGGAGAAGGCTGCTGGTGAGAAGGTGTACTGGATGTGTCGGGACCAGGCTCGTCTGGGCTGTCGCAGCCGCGCCATCACCCAGGGCCGGCGGGTCATGGTGATGCGGAGCCACTGCCACCCACCTGACCTGGATGGCCTGGAGGCCCTGCGGGAGCGAGACCGGGAGCAGCGAGAGCGGGAGCAAGAACAAGAAAAGGAGCGAGAGCAGGAGTTAGAGAGGGTGCGAGAGCGAGAGCGGGAGCGAGAGCGAGAGCGAGAGCGGGAGCGAGAGCGAGAGCGGGAGCAGGAGCGGCGCTCCAGTGCAGCCAAGAAGAAAAAGAAGAAGAGGAAGAAGAAGAAAAGTACGAAAAGTACAAAAAGTACGAAAAGTACGAAAAGTACGTACTGAGTGACCAGGGGCTTTGTGCCTAACTTCTTCACTTTCAGAACCTTTTCCTCTCGTTCCTATTGGTCCCTTCCCATTGACATGAAACTATACCTATGTCTTTGCAGTCCTTAGACCAGCTTCCATTCTGAATTGATGGGGGCTGGAGAGATGGCACAATAGTTAAGAGCACTGGCTGCTCTAGTAGAAGACTCAATTTTCATGCCATTCACAAGCATCTGTAACTCTAGTTGCAGGGGATCCATCACCCTCTTCAGGACTCTGAGGGTACAGGTGGCATACACACACACACACACACACACACACACATTACACACAAATAAAAATTTAAAATGATAAGACAGGTGTAAGTGGCACATGCTTTTAATCCCAGCATCAGGGAGGGAGAGGCAGGTAGATCTCTATGAGTTCAAGGCTAGCCTGGTTTACATAGCAAGACCTTGTCTCAAAAATAAACGAAATGATAATAAAAGAACCATAGGCTGTTATAGACAACATTTATTGGTATGTCAACAACTTTGATAGCTTATTTAATGAAACTAGAGAGAGGAGACTGGAGGCTCAGTGGTAGAACATCTGCCTACAACGTGTGAGACCCTGCATTTAATACCCATAACCACAAAAATATTCCAAGAGTGATAAAAACTACAAAAACTGATTCAAGAAGAGCGTAGAGCAGGAGTCATGTTGGAAGTAAGTCCTCTGTCCTTGAGCCTTCAGATGACTATGGTCCTGGTGATATCTCCTCAACTTCATGGTGAGTCAGAACTACTCAGCCCAGACACTCTTATAATTTTGACCTCCAAAAGCTGTGTTAGGTGATTTGTGATAGTGCATTGGGTAACTAAGACAATCACCTACAAGTCTCCTGGCTCTCGGGAGAACTCAGGCACCAGTTTCATCTTTGCGAGGGAACAAACTAGAGCCTTTCTATAGTGCCAACACTCAGGGAGCTGAGGCAGGAAGAGCACTAATGAAGGCCTGCCTGGGCTATATGGTCAGTTCCAAGCCCAACTCAGTATATAGTGAGATAGGGTTTTTTGTTTTCTGAGACAGGGCTTCTCTGTAGCTTTGGAGGCTGCCCTGAACTTGTTCAGTAGACCAGACAGCCTCGAACTCACAGAGATCCACCTATCTCTACCTCCTGAGTGCTAGGACTAAAGTTGTGCACTACTATTGCCTGGCATGAGATAGTTTTTGTTTTGTTTTGTTTTTAAAGCAAAAACTCAGAATCAGATCATAAATAAATCTTTGGGTTTTTGTTTTTGTTTCTTGTTTTTTGTTTTGCTTTGTTTTGTTTTTGAGATAGAATTTCTCTGGGTAGCCCTGCCTGTCCTGGAACTCACTTTGTAGACCAGGCTGGCCTTGAATTCAGAGATCTACCTACCTCTGACTCCCGAGTGCTGGGTCTGAAGGCATGGACCACCATACCTGGCTTGATTTCTGTTTTGTTTTGTTTTGTTGTTGTTGTTGTTTTGAGACAGGGTCTCTAGTAATAGCCCTGGCTGTCCTGGAACACACTTTGTAGACCAGGCTGGTTTTGGACTCACAGAGATCTGCCTGCCTCTGCCTCCTGAGTGCTGGGATTAAAGATGTGCACAGCTACCTCCTAGCTAAATAAAACCTTTGTAATGATACACATTTCTCTGTCATCAGGAACATCAAAGAAGAGCAAAAACTGAAGTGATCCCAGTGAGGCAAGTCTTCTCTGAAGCAACAGAAAAGCAACTGACTTCCCAGATGCAGGCCTTTCCCACCCACTCAGATTCGCTTGACAACTCCCTTCACTCTTCCAAAGCATCCACGGCCTTCACATCTCCTCAGAGGTCTCCCAGGAGGAGTGCTTCAACCTTGGGTGGTTATCTTGTGTTGACAAAAAAATAGTGCCAAGAACTGATGGGTGGCCTGCAGACCCGTGCCATGCTGCTGCTGTCACCTTTGTGACCTTAGCCAGCTGTGGAGAAGTGCGTCTGGACTGATATACCTCGATCCCGCTCTGCTGTCCAGGCCTCAGCACCATCTGCTTCCAGAGCATGCAGCCTTGCAGAGGGCTTCCTAGTGGGGTATGACCCCTCGTAAGCTCCATAAAGTACAGCAAAATGAATTTGTCCTTAGCCAGTATATATACGGGAGCTTCTTGCCACCCTCTGAAGACAGTGCAAGTCACAGCAGTTTTTGTTTTGTTTTGTTTTTTGCATCTTTTAGGGACAGGTGTTGGGGCCTTCCTGGTCTTTGGTCACTTGCTGCTTACTAGGACACAGCCAGCCCCAACCATGACAGAGCAGGCCAGGCTCAAGGCTTCGATATACCTTCTGTCAGATTTTGCATCTTGCATTCTGTCCCAACTTAAAGTAAACTTATGTCCACAGTTCTCATGGCAGCAGAAGTTCCTAACAGTGGGAGCCAGCCCTAGATGTCAGGAGGAGGTGACAGCAGATAGGTATGCTCTAGTGGCAGCTGCACCACTGAGAATCGCCCACTTGGTGTCGTCGCTTGATGCACAAAGAGAGTTAGATGGCATCAAAGCCTGCCTCCTATAGAAGATTTTAGCAGAACTTAGAGAGACATGCTAGAAGTGGCACTGTGACATCCCTAGGAACTGCAGAACTATCTGCATGCTACACCCTAGACAGAGCTGTCCTTACCCTGTCATAGAGCTGCATGCTCCCCTCCTTTAGCAAGCAAGCCATGAAGCAGCCACCCCTGTGGGATAGTGATGGCCTAGTGCCTGCCACTGGCTTCTGCTCATCTCCTTCCCTCAATAAACCCTATTTAGTCTCATGGTGCAGTACTGCTCTGTCAACACCCCGTCTGCAACAATAGGCTGAGCTGCACAAAGCCATGTACCGTTTCTTCCAAGTGCTGAGGAAGTAATGGGTTTGGTTGGCAACTCCTGGGCCCTGGTATTTTCTTGGCCTAGACCTAGACTGGGAGGGGACCTGCTGAAGATGTGCTTCCAGCCATAGGGAAGACTTAAAGAGTGGGCGATGTGTGCAACCCCTCCTCTTGAGTCCTTCGTGAGCTCACTGGAATGAGTTGAAGTGAGCCCAAAATGGAGGAGGCACCCCCAGCAAAGGCCATGTTTGCTTCTTGAGATCCTGGATACCATCTGGACAGGTACCTGCCCACTTTTCACATTAGCCCATTACCTAGCCCTGACTACCAGCCACCCTGGGTTTCCACCTGAGATCTGCCTCCAATCAAAAAGATGGTCTGGGGACTGGGGAAGGTGCTTGCTACACAGCCATAAGCATCTGAGTCAGGTTCCCAGCAACCCTGTGAAATGCTGAGCCTGGTAGCACATGTGTATAATCTCAGCGCTGGGTAGGTAGAGACAAGAGGATTTCAAACAAATACTCAACAGTGTTGTTTTTGTTTTTTGCTTGGTTTGATTTTTTGAGACAGGGTTTCTCTGTGTAGCTGTCCTGGAACTCACTCTGTAAACCAGGCTAGCTTCAAACTCAAGAGATCCACTTGCCTCTGCCTGCTGAGTGTTATGGTTGAAGTCATGGGTATTTTAATACACATCCCTATCCCTCTGCTTCCAACTCACCTGGGGCCCCAGCTGCTTACCCTGTGACCCAGCAGCTCCCACACCCACTTCTTCCTCAACGGCCTGTCAAGGCAGACTCCATCGTACTCCACATGGAGTCCTCTCCCTGGCTGTGTGCATCAGGACCAGATACTAAGGATGTCTCCAGGACCCATGTAGGATAATGCAGGCTTTAGGTCTCCTCCCACTTGCTTCATCCTACAACCTCCTGCTCTGAAGGGCTGCAAGAAGATGTGCAGTACTCCAGGGAGGCCAATCTTCTGTTCACATTATGGAGGATTCTAATAGATCCATTGCGACCTACCTGACCACAGCAGGGGCCCCTGCCAAAAAGGAGAGTAGTAGAGGCTAGGCCAGCCTGTCTAGTTTGGCACACATTATTGTTTTAGAACAAATTGCCAGGAACAACCACCAAAAACTATTATCTCATACTTTTGGTGAACCAGGGCTCTGGAAGGGCTGAACTAGGGTCACACAGCTGCAATCAAAGTGGCAGCCTCAGACTGGAGGCACATCCTCTCCTGGGTAACTATGGGCAGACCCTTAGACAATTCTCAGGCCATCCAGGCTCATCATCATCACCACCACATTTTTTTTTTTTTTTTAAATCAAGGTCCCAAACTGTATGTTTGGGAGTCAAGGAGGATCTCAAATCAGTGTTGAGGCCAGCTGAGGCTACATAGCAAGTTCCAGGCCAGCATGAGCTACATTGCAGACCCTATTGAGAGGTAAGGCAGGGCCTTGCTTGCTTTGTTACCCAGGCTGGCCTTGATGTCTTGGACTCAAGTGATCCTGCTGCCTTAACCTGCCAAGGCATGCACCACTGTTCCTGGCCCCATCTCTTACTTAACACAGAGACAATTTAATTAATTAGACACTATAATGAATCTGCATCAATCCCTCCACTACACAGCACGACCTCATCAGAGAAGTGTGTGATACACTCACAGTTATATCTACACTCCAGAGGACCATCTCATGAGCCTGTGGACCTCCAGGGACAGGAAACTTAGGGACACCTTCAAATTCTACCTGCCGTAACCTAACTAACTTGCCCTTACTAACTCACCCTCCTTAGCCCAGGAAAGCCCTGGAAAAATGATCAAGTGGGCCTGGGGCTTGGTTCTCAGGAGTCCAGGTTCCGGTCACTCTGAGTCTGGGAAAGTGGGCAAGAGGGTTAGCTACCGCAGTGTCCTGAGCTAGAACGCTCACCAGCTCAGTGCTTGGCAGCCAGGGACCCCAGACATGCTTCAGGAGGCTGATCCCTGATGACTCAGGCTACAAGAGGTGAGGTTGTAGTGGCCCTTGCTGTGGTCACAGAAGGGAACCAGCCTGGACTGTAGGCCCACAGCTCTGCCTAGACAGTGACAGAGCTCTTGGGAATGGAGGGAGGTCAGGTACCTGCTGTGCCATTCACTGGCCGTTCTTGAGGGCCTCGGGCCTTTGCTTCTAGCCCATGGCTCTCCTTTGGGACATGGCATTCACATCCAGGGGAACAGGCTACTATTAAAGATGGAGTAACCAGGGCTGGAGAGATGGCTCAGAGGTTAAGAGCTCTGACTGCTCTTCCAGAGGACCCGAGTTCAATTCCCAGCAACCACATGGTGGCTCACAACCATCTGTAATGAGATCTGGTGTGCAAGCATGCATGCAGATAACTGTATACATAATAAATAAAAAAAAAAAGATGGAGTAACCAGAACCTCTGCTTCCTCAGGGTGGCTTTGGGGAAAGTTAGCTTTGCTGCCATAAAGCAGAGGAGAGAGACAGTTCTGCCAGTGTCTCCCTACCTTACACCAGACTCCTTTGGGACAAGGACCCACCCTTCATCCCACCAACGTCACATTACCTCCATCCATGTTGATAGTGCTTGGTGGATACCACAGCCGCTCTGAAGCATTGGGGAGGGCTCCTCTTCATACCCAAAACTGAGGAGCAGTCCTGGTGCCATTAGGGCCTTCAGGGGGACACTGGGGAAGGCAGCTGAGGGCCATGGGGCTCTGAAGAGAGGATTCCCAGCTGGCCCTCTTCCAGCCTGTGAATGAAGACAAGTTGTAGGTTCTCTCCAGTTTGAGGGCAGTCTCCACAGCAAAGCCTCCATCTGGATTTCCAGGCCTGGGCACAAAAAACAGTAGTCATGAGGAGGGGGAACAGGTTTTGAGGAGATGGCTATGGGCAGAGGCATGGAGTCAAGAGGAGAAATGTACCTCTTTGAGACAATGATAGGCCAGAGCCAGGAAAGCAAGGAGGGCCAGGATTCCAGCAGCAATTGGGACCCCTATGGGCATTTGTAGCTCCCAGCTGATGCTATAGTTCTCCTGAGGAAAGAGGAGACAGAGTCAAGGGTTTGGGGAGGCAGGAGGGGAGGCTGGACAGGGTACAGTTCTCACCTTTCTGCTCCAAACCAGTGGACTCTGAAACCACGTCATGGATGGTTTCTTATCAACCACTGTTGGGCCTCCGGGCTCTGAGTCTTCTTCCCAGAGGCCCCCCACACCCCAGATGCCCCCTCAAGTCAAGTTATTGCAGCACCAGGCACCACCAGGACAGACTGGTAGCAAATGACCAAACGGGGCCTTTGTGCTTAGCCATCTCATCTTTCGAAAGTGAAACCCTTCCTTCTCAGGCTTTCTGTGAAGGAGGGGCACTGAAAAACCAGCATAACCCATAGCCTCAGCTCAGTAGCCGCCCTTCCTGAGGCCCCTCCAGAAGAATTTAATGGGCGGAGCAGATAAACTGACTCCACCTCTCAGTAAGGCCAACCTGGTCCACAAACGCAATTTCCAATAAATCATGAGCTGGCTCAAGAAACAGAGTTCTCCAGCACCCCCTGGCGGGTGTAGCTAGCAAAGGTTGCTACCCTCTGTTCCTCCCAGAGAGCCAACTTCCTGCATGATTGCTGCATTTCTCCAGTTGTAGCCATTTGGTGGCATCCAGGTAGGGAAACTGAGGCCGGGGAAGCTCAAGTAATTTGTCAAATCTCACAGTAGACGGACAAAGTCAAGAGTGTGTTCCCCTCTGAGCATCTCCCAGTCCTGCACAGGCTGTGACCAGAGCACTTAGGAAAAGCCAGCAGCAGCAGCAGCTCATGGAGTGTGGTCTCCAGTGTTGGTCCTCTGAAATGATCAGGCATCCTCCCCTCACAGAGGCCCATGCTGTGCCCTGCCTGCTCACAGCTGGCCAGGTGGTAATGCAGGCAGAGAAGCTAGACCCAGGAAACTGGAACAGGGGTCATGGCAGGCTTTTGAGATCCAAAACAGCAAACAGCATCCACATAAGGTCTCACTTGCGACCTGTGACCAAGTGAAGACAGATGCAGGGGAGGTGCAAGTCAGAGAAAGTGAGAAAGACAAGAGCCTCCTCTGGGGTGGGGTTGAGGTGGTAACGAGAAGTTTGAATGAGGCGTGCACACAGAAAGATAGCTTGGAGTGGTGCCTTTATAGGCAGTATCATTTCTGAGAGACCAGGATGCCATATCAGGAATCTGGGGGTTCCCTTTGCTCTGAATCCACACTAGGGTCTACCCTCACCCTGATAGACTCCCAAAAAGAAATTGAATGGGCTCAAATGCACCCTGGGAAACTTCCTGGGATAATGTCTACAGCCTTTCACCTTTTCCACACTGGACCAAACAAACCTGACTTCATGTACTTCAAATTAAATAAGAGGGGCTGGAGAGATGGCTCAGTAGTTAAGAGTGTTGACTGCTCTTCTAGAGGACCCAGGTTCAATTCCCAGCACCTACATGGCAGCTCACAACTGTCTATAATTCCAGTTCCAGGGGACCAGACACCCATGGCAAAACACCAATGTACAAATAAAAACAAAGAGACAAAAAAGAAAATAAGAGCAAGGACACCCACTTCCATGCCCAAGCTGTTTTTTGTTTTTTTTTGCTGTGTGTGTGTGTGTGTGTGTGTGTGTGTGTGTGTGTGTGTGTGTGTGGTGTGTGTGTAAGTGTTCTGCAGGTCAGGAGAAGGCACCAGATCTCATTCCAGATGGTATGAGCCACAATGTGGTTGCTGGGAATTGAAGTCAGGATCTTTGATAGAACAGCATCTCTCCAGCCTCCATGCCCAAGTTTTCTCTTCTTTTTTTCTCTATTGCCCTACATGACATGACATTTATGTATGCAAATCTATTCATGAAAGTAACAGGCCTGGTCGGGCGTTGGTGGCACATGCCTTTAGTCCCAGCACTCAGGAGGCTGAGGCAGGCGGATCTCTGTGAGTTCAAGACCAGCCTGGTCTACAAGAGCTAGTTCCAGGACAGCGTCCAAAGCCACAGAGAAACCCTGTCTTGAAAAAAAACAACAAAAAAGTAAGTAGCAGGCCAAGATACACTCTATGTCTGTCAGGGTCAGAGTCTTAGGCTCTATGACCCTGAACTAACTCCTTCCATACTTCAGTTTCTCCATCTCTGAAGAAGCGACACTGTGGAGACTGCTGTGGGACAGCAGCTCTCACTGGAGGTGTGGGGAAGGCAATAGGACTTTTTCCTATTTTTTATTTTTGTCGAGACAGGGTTTCTTTATGTAGCCTTGTCTGTCCTGGAACTCAGATCCGCCTGCCTCTGCCTTCTGAGTGCTGGGATTAAAGGTGTGCACCACCACTGGCTGGCTGGCAATGGGACTTCTGGTCAAGGAAAAAGAGAACAGAGCTGGGCACCGTGGCCCACACTTAATTCCAGCACTCAGGAGGCAGAGGCAGGGGGAATCTATGAGTTTAGTCCAACTTGGTCTATTACGGCAAGCTCCAGTCCAGACCTGTCTTAAAAGTACACTGAAAAAGACACCTGGTGGGATAGGGACAGCAGTGTCAATGCCAGGCACCTAGATCATACTCTTCTTGAAACTGGGCTCCAACACTGAATAGCTAGTGAGTCCACAGTTGCCAAGGGCCTCTGAGCCCCAGTTCTGGGATCTGCAGAATGGGGAGGTACAAATGTTCCCCTAGGGCCTTGGGAATGCTGACAGGCTGCTGCCTGCACGATGCGGAGTGTGGAATGCTCGGGAAGTGTGTGTTGAGGGGTGCAGGGCATGAAACCATTCTTTCGTCTCAAAGGGTCCACAAGCCACCCCAGACTGGAACTTGTGGCGAGGACACTGCCTACTCACTCCCGTTTCAGTGAACCCCGCCTGCTGACAGAGCACCACTTCCCTCTCTTGCCCCTTTGCAGAGGATGGGACTGGTCAGATCCACCCCAAACTGTGGAGGGTTGTCTTTAGGGCCCATGGTTCTGCCAGGGAGAAGCCATTCCTCAGCTAACTCTGCCATGATTCCCGCCCTGTGTGTTGAGGTCTGGATCACTCATTCTTGTGCTTTGACTTCCTCCTCCACAGGACTGACCCTCACAGAAAATGTGAGGGGTCCAGAGTACACAGCCCCCAGGTTCTTCTGGCCCTCAGGTGAAATGGAAAGGCTGGCTTCCTTGCTAGGTGTCTGGAGCTCTCTGGAGGTGTCAGTGCAAGAGGGAGACTACCAGCCCAGAGCTCAGCTTGAGGACTGAGTGAGCTGCCAGCCGACAACCTCAGCAAATCCATCTCCTTGGAATACTTCATCCCTACCCGACCCCCTCCACCCTTTGGCGACTTGTCATAGCCCTGAGAACCTTCGAATGAGGTGCCAACTACACAGCTGCAAGATTCCCACAGCTAATTGTTGATTTCTGCCACGCAGGCTTCAGCCTCCCTGTGAATCTTGCTTCTCTATCTGCTTCAGGACCTGAGTTAGATGGGGAAAGCCTAGGATTGTCAGAGCTGGGCCAGGTCAGCCTGGACCCAAGGCATACTAGCCCAAGGGTGGGCAGGCTGGTCTGATGGGCAAGGGGTTTGAACAGGGTAGGGCTGCATA